TGTTATTCTAACCCCACATTTTAAGAATTATTTTCACGCACTTATAAATAAAAGTAAACAATTTTATATGTAGGACTAAGCAAGTAAATGTTATAAGAATATTTACATTTGGAATTATATATAAAAAAGTTAGTATTTTCGAAGATTTCAGTACCTAAAACCTTGATGGTTTGATCGTTTTTTGCACCTGTTTATTCGTTTTACTGTGGCGTCTTTGAAAATAACCAGATGTCATGACATAACATTCCTATTATTTGATAAGCTTTAGATTATTCAGTTATTAAATGTTTGAAATTATTTGTCTTTGCGGAAAACACTATTTAAAGAATATGGGGCCCTTAACGCCGATGTTGCTTTTGAAGCTTCTAAACTCTGTCAATTGTCAAAACAACCTGAGCAACATAAATGAACAAAATTTTAACATCCCCGAACCTGATAAGTTTGGAAATAGCTGTGTATACTCTTGAATCAAAAGCACCTCCTACATCTATAACGTTTTATGACCGTGTAAAGGCCGTTTGGCTTTCGGCTATATCGCTCCCATTCGAATAGGACTAGCGTCGAATATTGATTTACCGTTAGATAAATCGGATCCTTGCATTAGAGCAATTGACTGGGAACTTTATCAGTTTCGAGAATTGTAACCTCAGCCAATTCTGCGTTTATTTTATCCTGTTTGAAACCGTGAAAAATATTTCCGATAACGACATTTTAATGTCGCAGGTGGCAAAATGAGAAAATTATGAATCCTAGTGAGCAGCACATTTGGTGTATTACTGTATTCGGATATTGTATGAAGGTGTATAATGAAACATGAGCAAAATAGTTTGTGCAAACTTGTTCTACGTACCACTCCCGTTTCTTTATCCACAGCCATGACAGATAGGCCGTCTTTGAGAGTCATTAAGTCGTGATGTTCCAGGAGTTCGCAGGGCTTGCCGTGCATACATAGCCCCACCGATGCGTTGAGGGGTTCGTCGGGAAAATTAAATCTGAGATGATGGATGACTTCGTCGAACTTGCTCGGAGGAATGGGGCCGTATTCCATGGCTTGTCCTGCAAATAAGTAAAAGATAAATTTGTCTTCATATTCTCTTGCAATCAAACTATTTGTGGAGGAGGAAAGGGGAGAGGGGCTGGCAAAATTAAAATATTACAACACTCCGCGCTTTCTCTAAATGATGTCCACAGTAGGAGTAGAATAAGTGACTATAGAAAAAAGAAAGTGAATAAAAAAAAGCTATCGAGGTTTGTTATCACTTACTTGGGCTTTAATAGCGTCAGATTAAAAAAGTTTTAGTATAAACACATTGACTGAAGATTTGATCACTAATTGCAGTTTCGGGAGATTTAATTACTTAATTATTTTATTATAAACTACGCTAGAACTGGGTTTTAACACTTGGGGTGCCGGATATAAAATAATCGATGCCCCAATCTACATTTAAATGGAAATTCGTGCATATTTTATAGCTCCTCAACCAGAAAATCGATGGAAATGTGGGGGAGACTGTACATAAGTAATTGGTCAAGCATACGAGCTCTTCCAAAAGACATGAATACCTGCCACGTTTTGAAAATAAATAAAATGAAAATAAAACATTTTTTAAACCTATACGATATACAGGGTGAGTTATTAATAATGGCAATGGCTTAATGGTAGATTGTTAACGACAAAATATAGTGATTGAGCAAACATGCCTTAATCAATTGGAGCCTCTTTTCGTTCTACAGGGTGTTAATAAAGTCGAAAAAATATTTTCTATTTTTAACTGTATTTTGTATGGACCGATTGTTTTGAAAATTTGTAGTTTTTCGTTTTTTGAGGAGGCAAATACGAATATGCAAACAGCGTTGAGGTAACGTCTAGAGGACGCTAGTTATACTGTCCCATCAATTTAAAAATTTGTCTAACTTTTTGTATTTTACCTTTTTGAATTTTTTAACTAGAAATTATTGAACTACGTTGAATTGTAAATAAAAAAGGTGTACTTGTTACAAATCGATAAACTCAACTATTTTCGAGATACAGACGTTTTAAGTTTTTGAGATTCGGCGGGAATTAAATTAGAAAATTATTTTTTCCAAAGTAGTAGGCATTGACATAATAAATTGACAGCTGTCACTACAATACCATATTATTTCTGCCAATCCTACTCAATTTGATTAGGAAGTAGTTTTTCCTTGCCGTTTGCATATTCGTATTTGCCACGTCAAAAAACGTAAAACTACAAATGTTTTTAAAACAATCCATACATACTTAAAATACAGCACAAACTCGAAAATATTTTTTCAACTTTAACCCCAGTAGAACGAAAAGGAGCAACAATTGATTAAGCCATTAAGCTGTGTACCATTACTAATGACTCACCCTGTATATATGGTGATTTTTACTTGTAGAACAAACATTATTATACAAATTCACACGATTGTAGTTGTAGCATATAGGTCCAGTTACAAATTGTTACAATTTTGTTTGAAATCAAAAATCTACAAATTATAGTTCGTTTTTCATAATTGTTAAAAATAATCAAAATGTAAATGTAACATTTTTGTATTTTTAAACAAAGTGTGATCTGATCTGATATGAAGCTTTAATTTATGTTAAATATATTTCTCTCTCAACATGTATCTGTTTAAAAACAAACGATGTTTTTAAATAAAAATATTTTTTCTGAAAAAATCTAATCAAATGAAATCAAACAGTTAATTTCATTTGTAAGGAGGCCAAAGAGATAAGTAATATCTCGAAATATTTTAAATTATAATTTAAGCTAAGATAAATAATATCTAAAAAAAATATTAACTGGCATACAGCAAGGTGGGGTACTTGGTGCAATGCCATTTGTGCCCTTCATTAACGATTTATTACCTTTATGGTTATAAAAAATAAAAGTTTAATAAGCTTAACTTAAAAGCTTCAGATTCTACATAACAGATGTGTGTACTGTGTATTTTCTGTTAAGTTATCAGCTAAAAACTCAGTGCATTATGTTCCCAAAATATTTTTTTTCTATAAATTTACACATTCATCATGAAATTAATTCGTAATACTAGTCAAAGAGTCATAAATCAATGTAGGTAACTTAAAATGATCCAAAAATTCAATTTATTTTTTCAATAACATCATTAGTATATTTTAAAGAACTTTTATTTATGATTTTACTTTGTATTTTTTGCTGTTATGTGTATTTATATTGATTAATTTTTTTTATTATTTTAATGTGTTGATAAATATCTATGTTCATTGTACATAAACAACGTTAGCATTTGCTAAATACATAAATGAATAGAAAATAAAATGGATCCAGTTCTGTTTATATGTTGTAGTGTGTTTACTGGCAACAAAATGCAATCTTTGGGAAAGCTCAATTTAATATGACATCGACTTTATTAACTATATATTTTTTTAAATCAGTTATATTCTCACCTGGTGAAATGAGCGCCTTTTCAGCAGGATCGGGATAAAAAAATACCGGCACGACTAAGCCACCACCAGCCCTACGTCCGTTACTCACGATCTTCCAACGTATACTACACCGAAGTTTGAAGGAGAATCGTGGTCCTGTCTATTCCCCTGGACCCTGTTGCTGGAGCGACGCCCGGGAATCCTTGGACAGGCGCGTATTTCGCATTATCCGGAGACGCGTACCCCTTCGGAGGAGAACAATTTGCTCCAATTAAGGAAATTTGTGCTTGTTAACGACACTGCCCACGGGCGACGGGTCGAGGTGTTTTGAATAACGATTTTAACGAGAGTTTTATTTCAGTTTCGAGACGCCTCCCACTAGGCAAAGTAAAATTGCTGCAACATTGCCAATAGTTTAGAAATAAAGCTGCAACAAAACCACCCAACACCTTTGCGAGAAAATTTTAAATTATTAAGTTTGTTGTAAACTTGATGATAAGTTTGCTGCAACTTTTCTTTGAAATTTGCGATAACGTTAGTTAAAATTTCACTAAAAACTTTATCCAAATCATTATCAAAACAAGGCAAAGACAGAATGTCCTAAAATTTAGTAATTTGAACTTTAGTTTTGCCTTTGTTAAGTATTATACTATTCAGCCTGTCACCATATAATACTTTTAATTGATATATGGCAAAGTCATAATAATTATAAAAGGAAATTTTATCTTTCACTATTTTTCATGAAGTAGTCCCTGATTTGCCATAATGAAACCATTGTATCACAGTTTTTTCGAAGTCATTAACTTTTAAAGATTTCCAATTGAACTTTACTGTCTCTAAAATCAAAATCTAATGATAAGTTACCAGTCATTTTGTATGTATGATTTCCATCGATTTTAAAATTAATGAAAACTGACCTGTGCAGTGTATCTTTATTATTTTTTTTAAATTCAACTTAAAATATATATTTAGGATTCAACAACTATTAAATACTTGAGTTCCAAGATTCTCAACAACAACAAAATAGGAGTAGGTATCTATTATTTTTGAATTCGGAACATTATGATTTATGATCGAAATTTAGGTTTATATTATATTCCCATGGCCGACTATGCCCAATTCTGTTAAGTTCTGTTAAGTGATCTGATCTACAAAGAGCAACAAAATGGAACCTTATATCAACAATGAACAAAGCCACAATGTTTGTGTCGCTACCTTCACATGATTCATTTGTCAATATTTTGATTTTTTTCTTAGAAAAAGCGAACTAAAAATATCAATTTCTTAAATGCATACCAATAATTCTAGTGACTAAAAGTGTTAAGTGTTCATTTAAGAAAGAAAAAAAGTTGTGCCAAAATGTTGTTTGAGATTTTCCTATCATTGTTTCTTATAAATAATATCTCCTGTGATGGATCCCCCTTTTTATTTCCCTCTTATGACAACATAATTGGGAATAACTCTACCGAAATTATATGTCCAGATTTTGGGAAAATTAATAACGGTAATGTGGTTGTTCAAAAATTGGGTGCAACACGAAAAGTAGCAACTATTACATGCGATCATGGTTATGATATCGAAGGCAATAACAATATATACTGTGTAGATGGCCAATGGGAATTCTACAGCTCGCTACCGACGCTACCTCAGTGTATAAAACGCTGTCTTCCTCCCCCTTACCTCAAGAACGGTGCTCTGGAGATCGAAGGAACGAAAGACGAAGAGGGGTATTACCCTAAGGGGACTGTTGCTGCATATTCGTGCAGTGAAGGTTACCAATTAACCCCTGAGACAAGTAATTTGAGAGTGTGCGAAAAAGGAACTTGGACAGGCCCCATCGCAACTTGCGTTCCTAACGTTATTCAAATTGCTGGTTGTCCGACACCCAAAACTATTGAAAATGGGTATTTTGTACAAGAGAAAGTAGGAGAGTTGGAAGGATATAACAGTTTTGGGCAGAGGTTGCACTATAATTGTAAAACGGGATATTCTGTGATTGGACCCAGAGTACAACAGTGCTTGGACGATGGTTCCTGGTCTCCAAAATTGCAACCCATGTGTGCCCCAAAAGTCGGTGAGTAAATTTTTATTAGTTAATTGTGCTTGTTAAAGGTGCGTTTTAAATATGTTTATGTAAAATATTTTTCTGTGGAAATTTAAAGGTCAGGATCTGCATATGAATGATTTGGTGTAATTTTAGTCGTAATTATATATTTGATATTCATTTTTGGTGGGTGTTGCTGAGCATATGACTATCTGCATAAATCAATAATTCAATTCGCGTAAATAAACATGTTAACAACAAAAACTATTTTATTTCTGTGGGTAAGTACGCCGTCCTATTTTCGAGCTAAGCGCCGGTGCTTTAGACACTTCCTTCGATTCAGACGTCGTCCCACAGATGGCGTACGCGTTCACTTTTACAACTTTTACATACCGAGTTTATTGATCGCCGGCCTGATTTTTCATATCATCGACCCTGTGTAAATCTTTTTGTGTATTGTTAAGGCGTATGTGAAAGTAAATTGAATCAGTCGGATTTAGTGCAATAAAGTGAAGATATTAAACAATGGCAGGCCAAACAATAAACGATCGGCTTCTTGCGGCTAAGCACAGCTTAGCTGGTCAGGGCCTTGCAAAATCCGTATGCAAGGCTACCACAGAAGAGATGCTGGGCCCCAAGAAAAAACATCTAGACTACTTAGTACACTGTACCAACGAGCCCAACGTGTCGATACCTCAAATGGCCAATTTGTTAATGGAAAGATCCCAAAGTACGAGCTGGGTAGTGGTCTTCAAGTCCCTTATAACGACACATCACGTAATGTGCTATGGTAATGAGAGATTCACGCAGTATTTGGCCTCTAGTAACGTATCCTTTCACTTATCGAATTTCGTAGATAAGACTGGAGTGCAAAGTGCTGTGGGAGCTAGAACGGGATACGATATGTCTCCGTTCATAAGAAGGTATGCTAAGTATTTAAATGAAAAGGCTTTGTCGTATAGAGCTGTAGCTTTTGATTTCTGTAAAGTAAAACGAGGCAAGGAAGAGGGCACGTTACGTACCATGAACTCTGAAAACTTACTTAAAACGCTGCCCATCCTTCAGAATCAGTTAGACGCTCTATTAGAATTCGACTGTACTGCAAATGATCTCACAAATGGCGTTATAAACATGTGCTTTATGTTGCTTTTCCGTGATCTCATCCGTCTGTTCGCATGTTATAACGATGGAATAATTAATCTCTTAGAAAAATATTTTGAAATGAACAAGAAACAGTGCAGGGAAGCTTTAGACTTATACAAGAAATTCTTGATACGTATGGATAGGGTTGCAGAATTTTTAAAAGTTGCCGAAAACATAGGAATTGATAAGGGTGATATTCCCGACCTTACCAGGGCCCCCAACAGCCTTTTAGATGCTTTAGAACAACATTTGACTTCCTTAGAAGGTAATACCCCTACGGCGGTGACAAACCAAAAGAACTTAAAGTCTGGGGTGTCGGCACTGTCGAATACAAGCAACGCATTTGGCTCGGCGGTGGACGATAACTTTAAGCAAGCAGCGGTTGCAGAGGAAGAAGCCGCTTTGAACCAGTACAAGGCTAGTGTTGGGTCCCCCGCCGCCAGCACCAATCCGTTCTTGAGCGACGAACCTACTATTAAATCCGAACCAATCTTAGACTTATTTGGAGGTGACAGTGGAATAACCGCTGCCCCTAGTCAGGCGCAGTCTAGCAACGCTCTCGATGACTTGCTGTCCCTCGGGAATAACCCCTTTGCTGACTTTTCCACTCCGGCAACTTCCGTGGGTCCTACCAATACGGATTTCTTCTCCGTTACATCCACGACCGCAGAATCTACAACTGTGACTAACAATATGTGGGCTACCAACGGATTTGCCGCGACAAACGCTTTCCAACAACCTGCCGCCCAACCGTTTTCTGCCGCCAACGATCTGAGCGGACTTTTCAACACAAACGAGCCTTCAGTGTTTGATCCTCTAGCAGATCCTACCAAGACGACGTCCGCCATTCCTCAGCCTGTTTCCAATCAACCTCAGAGGCCTCCACCACCTTCCAAAATCCTAACTGGTGATCTGGAGTCCAGTTTAACTTCACTCGTGGAAAATCTTACCATGGATTCGGGCAGTAGGTCTTCGCAATGGAATTCGCCGAAGAACCAACCCAAAACGTCATCCGCGGGAGGCTGGCAGCCCCAACCCATGGCGGCCACCACAGCTGCCTCATACAGACCCATGATGGGGCAGCAGCCCGTTATGCAACCCATGATGTCGAGCGGTCAACCCATGATGGGGCAACCGATCATGCAGCCAATGATGGGGGCCCCCATGCAGTATCCTATGGGTGCGGTGCAACAGCCTATCATGGGCAGTCCAAAGATGGGGGTGGCGCAGCCACAACAGCAGCAGCCGGCAAAGCAGGCAGTTACTTTCGATCCGTTTGGGGCCCTATAGTAATTTTCAAAGAATGTCTTAGGTAAACCTTTTCATGTTGTGTCAAATGTTTTCGTTTAATGGTATTCTGGCAAGAAATTTTCAATGTGAAGGGTTTTATTTGATAATATGGAAAAATTGAGAGAAGTTTATATATTTAAAAATTTTAGGCTGTACATAGTGTTTTCTTTTTTTATAAAATCGCGGGAAGGATCGGTTTTATGAAATTAGAATGCTGTTGTCTATTTACTCGCTGGTCTTTTTATGTGATTTTTTTTAAATTTTTTACTTGTTACTAAAAAAGCAACCGAAACTTGTAGATGTAGGGTATTGATAACGGAACAGACTTTATTCTAGTCCAGGTGCATGTTTTTTTAAATGCTTTTGTACTGTGTAATTTCCTTTAAATATTGTGATATTTTTATTAGAGCAAAATCTAGATTAAATATTTATTCGGAATTATAATTCCTGATCAAATCAATTTTTTTGACACAAACAGAAACAGATATTACCTTTTATTTAATAACTTTTATTGATATTCTTTACATGTTTTTCAACATATTTAATTTATAAATAGCAAATTGATTGGATCCCTTTATATTTTATATCACATAAAAACAACATTAAGAAAGCATCCGATGATAAATATTTTCATAATAATTATTTGTCCTTGGCATATTTCATATTTATTGTTTAATTTATATTCTATGATAAATCTTCAATAATATACAGTGTGTCTCATAATTAGTGTCCAGTTTGATTCTATTGCCAAAAATAAGAATATTATTTCATATAACCATGGGTCAAGAAAAGGGAGAAAGGGAGCTATGCCCCCCTAAATGGGGCCTCAAAAAATTATTATTTTTTTTTAATATTTCAGAAATGGGTTGAACGAAAATTATGAATTTTGACATTGTGAACGGTCATTAAAAGTCGAAATAGATCATAAAGTTTTTCAAAAATTTTAGTCAGACGCGTCTTGCCCCAATTTTGTTTGCTTGTCGACAACATATGATAGACCCTCATTTCTTCTACAAAAAAGGTAAAATTTGATAGATCTCAGTTTTCTATTAAAAATGGTAATAAACAGTAATCCGTTTTGGAGAAAAATCGGTTTAAAAGTGTGCTTTTCTAAGCACTTAATAATCCGTTTTTTTTGGAAATGGAGCATTTTATCGAAAGAAATAAAGAGTACCCTTTTTGTAGAGGAAATGAAGGTCTATCATGTATTGTCCTCTGAATTTAAAAATTTCGACAAGCAAAAAAATTGGGGCAAATTTTTGTCGCCGACTCCCTCAGTTGAGACGCCCCTGATCAAAATTTTTGAAATATTTTATGATGATCTAATTCGACTTTTAACAAGCGTTCATGGTGTCAAAATTCATAATTTTCCTTCAACCCATTTCGGAAATATTTAAAAAAAATAATGTAAATTATTGGACACTAATTATGAGACACTCTGTACAGTTACTGCTTCATTTTGATCTGCAACTTTTTCTTTTTTCAAGAAGTGAACTGTTTCGGTTGCTATTTCTCCAATTATGTCATTAAGTGTGTCTGTCTGTATGTATAATCGTTTCCCCGGGGAGAATTTTAATTCACATGCTCATAAAATGGCAAACAGTACCTATCTTGTATATTTGTAAATTGGATTTATGCCTTGTTTCTCACGTCACGTCTAGCCATTACTGAATGTATTTATTTGTCGTGTAAGCTTAACCGAGAACTCCAGGGTTGGTGTTTGAAATTCGGACAGTCTTATAATACAGGGTGTTCCTCAAATTATGCACAATTAGACAAAGAGCACTGTGATTTGTTACGAGATTAGGATGGGATAGAGGATTGTGCAATACCCTGTAAATTACCGTTGAAGCTGTAATGTGTAGTGATAAAATTGTTAGAGATATTTCTTTTTACTTTTAGTGTACCATTGATAATTAATTTTGTAGCATATATGTCCATTGTTAAGTGTACGTCGCTTCTGATACCGTGTGATTAGACGCCTGTTTTATTTCTCGAGTATTTGTACATTCCTTGAAATGTGAATTATATTGTTTTGTAATATATCGAAGACAAATATTATTTTTCTACTTTTAGAGCTAGTCCCCAACTGTGCATATTTTTCTTTACGATTCTCAAGTTATCTGCACCTTTTTATTATTTATTAGTAATTTATTTATTTTTATTGTTTATACGTTGTTTTATACACTTTTAGATGCAATTTTTTGATGTGATTTTTATTGTGATGAGAGAGGACCCCTAAAATTGTAAGTCAAATGTCCTTTTTTGGCTGCTTTCTATAAAAGAATTAAATTTTTATGAAAGTGTAGTTGCGTAAAATTAGATTTGTATTTTTTTCCTCATTTTCAGGGTCTTTTCTTGCACTTTTCCTTACGGACACGATCAAAGTTGTTAAAAGACTTAAATTAAGTATTTGTAGTAATCTTCCAAAATAAAAAATATATTGTAAATACATTACCCCCCTGCACCTAACAACACATCCTCCCAGTGCCATTGGGTACAGCATCGTTTACCATTTACAAGATATCAGATACCAAAAATATCATTAGCCATGATTTTAGCCTTTAGGTAACTACGTAACATTTTTAGTTTCTACTCTAGCCACAAATTGTAATGTAATCAGTATATGACAATATTACCAAAAAAAAAAAATGAACATGTTGAATAAATAAATTATGCTTATGTGTTCCGGTGAGTTTGATTTTGTCATTGTTGTTACCCCCGGCTTTCGAAAGCTTTACAAAACGTACGGGATGGGCAAAACGTTTTCAAAAATTGATAAAAATATGAGGTATTTCATTTAGAAAAACTTTATTTTAATAAAAAACCTGATACTTATAGAAAAATATGTCGTACTCCTCTGGATTTTTACTAAAACAAATTTCCACAAATAAAGTTATAGGCCCAAAATTGCATATCACCCTGTATATCTTTTAAACGAATGCTGACGTAATAAACTTTTTTTACTATGTTTTTGGGAAATATGAGAATCCCTAAAAATTGTGTAGAATTTTGCCCACCCTCTACTGTGACTTTCGTGAGGCTAATATTCAGAATATACCGGGTGTAAGTAAGTTTCATGTTTTAACATATATCTTGATTTTGTACACGTTGCTTTGCTTTATCGAAGACAGTATAAATAGGCGTAAAACCGTTTTACGACCTTTCAATGGAATTCAAAAACTACTATTTATCACAGACAAAATAGCTATCGCCTCAGACCGCTACTGGAATAATAGGCCAGCAGTTTTAAATATCCGAATTGCCGATAGAGTGCACCACCAGCAGAATTTTAGGAAGAATCAAATGTACGGCCCGCATTCCTACGCGTATCCTAGCAACATATAAACAACACTTTGGCAATGTTGCCAGGCGTATTTACGGATTTATTTTGTACCCTTTTTTTTATCAATATCTCTTTTTTGCGTTGCTGTATTTATTTAAATATTATGATGTAGGTATTGATAAAAATATTCTAAAGAATCAACGAATATCTATGTAGTTTCATATGATATTCTGCAGTGGCGTCACGGTTAGGTTATTTAATCATAATTTCGTTAATTAGCTACTATTTTCATTTTTCGGTATTGAAGTACTGCAGAAAATATATTTCCAAATAAACAAAATTCGTAATGATATTTTATACAGCTAGTAATATATTTTTTTTAATATTTGATGATGATTTTATTTAATATATTAGATGGGTTATTACTACGTTGCGGAATGTAGGTACAGGTTTTTTTTTTTGTATTTTGACATCCACTTATAGGTTTAATAATTAAAGATAGAAAAAAAAAACTTTAAATACAAATGTACAACATTTCCTTTATTGACATCAAAATTTGCTGGCATAAAATATGTGTTTAAAGTAAAAAAATCATTAAAAAAAAATTAAAATTAATCCTTATTGAAATAACAAACAGCGATTTTTATAACTAACCTTTACAACAACATAAGGAGAACACCTAAAAACGAAATAACATTAAAATACCTGTACAAATTTTCAACATGCAAGTAACTGTGATGATACAGTTCAAAATATGCTTTAATTTACTATTTATTGCTCTAAAAACAAATTCAGAATTATCGAACATTTCGTCCTGTATTGAAGTGTCCCCACAAAAATATGTCTAAAGGACTGAGATCGGGGCTGTTTTCTGACCACCTAGCGACGTTGCCAAAAGTAAAGTTATTATTATTGAAAACAATTAAATTTTGAAATCAATTTCAATGTTTTTCACCATAAAGCTTATCACCATTTGCTAGTGTACAGCGAACTAAAGACACAAAATACCCAATCTTAATTATCTATCGCACAAACACAGCGAATGTTAGTTAAAAACCAGCAATTTCCTTTGAATCATTTTCAAATTCGGTGACATAAGTTACGCCACACCTACAAACTGACATTCATGATACAAGTAACATGAGAGCTACCAACATAAGCGAATTAGTCCAAGCATTATAGAGAAATGCTTACAGAAATTATTACCTGGACAAAAAAAATATGACCATATAGAAAATTAAATTTTAAATTGAGTTTCTTGTTCTTTAAACTCGATCCAATATGGCGAACATGGTTAAAAAAAATCGCAAAGTTGAAAAAAACGGTTTTTCTAAAATAACTAAAAAAATATAGCACGGATTGAAAAATTTTAAATGAGAAAGTTGTAGGTTTTAAAAAGATCTATCGACTGATTTTTTGAAAGTATCGATTGCTTTGTTACTTTTTCAGATATATCGAAAAAACCGTTAAAAATCTTCTCTTTTCGCTTCTTCTATAACTCGTTTACATTTACATGCCCATATTTGCTATTTACTGCAAGCATAGCCCACGGCAAGCCAAAAAAGTACATTTTTGAAAAATTTAAAAATATTAATTATTTTTCGAGATATATCAATTTTTTGAAAAAAAGGCGCTCTCGAAAATTGGCCAGATCTTCTCAGCGGATAGCCCTACAGTAACGATTTTCGGTATATTTTCTTCGTAAAGAGTTATATTATCATACTGTTACAAAATGTTGACGATTTTATTAATTTTAAGGATCAAAAATTGACTGAAAAAGTTGCACTTTTTTGGGTATGTAACTATTTCAATTTTTATTTTATGAAAATGACTTTTAAAGAAAGAAAACTAAACATTTACGGGTCTATTTTGCTTCTAAGGCGAAAATGCTATAATATTCGTGTTTAGCTACCCCAGATTAAGTACAAAAAAATAATAAAAATTGAAATAGTTATTTGAAAAAAACATACCCTAAAAAAGTGCAACATTTTCAGTCATTTTTTGATCCTTAAAATTAATAAATTCGTCAACATTTTTTAACAGCATGATAATATAACTCTTTACGAAGAAAAGAAACCAAAAATCGTTACTGTAGGGCTATCCGCTGAGAAGATCTGGCCAATTTTCGAGAGCGCCTTTTTTTCAAAAAATCGATATATCGAAAAATAATTAATATTTTTAAATTTTTCAAAAATGTACTTTTTTAGCTTGCGGCGGGCTATGCTTGCAGTAAATAGCAAATATGGGCACGTAAATGTAAACAAGTTATAGAAGAAGAGAAAAGAGAAGATTTTTAACGGTTTTTTCGATATATCTCGAAAAGTAACAAAGCAATCGATACTTACAAACAATCAGTCGATAAATCTTTTTAAAACCTACAACTTTCTCATTTAAAATTTTTAAATCGGTGCTATATTTTTTTAGTTAGTTTAGAAAAACCGTTTTTGCAAATTTGCGATTTTTTTTAACCCTGTTCGCCATTTTGGATCGAGTTTAAAGAACAGGAAACTCAATTTAAAATTTAATTTTCTATACGGTCATATTTTTTTTGTCCAGGTAATAATTTCTGCAAATTTAACATTAATCCGTGACAGAATGCTTGGACTAAATGGGCGCTGCCTTGGCAATCGCAGTTTACGCGATCTACTAACCCTGCCCAATTCTCGCGAGTGCTTCTCTGTACGTCCTCGGTCTAAAATCTCGTAAGCGGACACGAGGGCGAAGCGTACATCGCGATACGTAGTAAATTAATCATTTACTTTTCCGACGCAGCTCTAGGAGAGCCGCTGCGACGGCCCGTAATTATCGGCGACTCCATAAATCAGCGACGGCAACGCTGAAATTGTTAACGAGAGATAATTTACGTCCGCGCGAGGTATGTGCATCACCACGAGGGACATTCGGAGTAATAGCGCCCGTAATCGTTCTTGGCGTTATTTTCCTAACTGCGGAAAAATTGGGTTTTACTGTAGACGCGCCCCATTCCCCGGGTTGGGTGAATTTACGTCTTCCTAGCGTTATAATTAATTTCTCGTGCCAATTTTCTGCAAAAGTACAGTTTCTGAACAATACATTAGAAAGAAATTTAAGCAAGTTCGGGCTCTGACCGAATTTTGATGCGTAAATGTCAATTTGCGTCGTCAATACGGAAAAAACTAACCTTTTTCAGTGACACAGCTAACGGATTTAGTGTCATTTGCGGACGAATGCGACAGGTGAAGTGCCCATCTCAAACATTTTTTCTCCTATGCCGACCTCATAACGGTCCGCGGGAGACAATACGATTTGTCGGGATTCGCCGACCATTAGCGTCAGAGGACCCTCACACAAAGCGTATCTGGGTATCGTTTGTGTGCCGGACAAAAGACGGGGCGACACAAAAGGCCCGAAAGAGAATCATGCCATTCTTTTACTACACACAAAGAATTGATTATGTAAGGTCATCGTTAGTCTTTTTGCCGGACGCCGCCGGCGGGTTTTTGTCCCGCGCGACTTCTCTCGATCGCTATCGCCTTCGGTGGGAAAGCGCAATTAAACGGGGAATATTTATTTATTTATTTACTGTCCAACGGGAACAAACTTCAATTAATGGATAGTGAAACGTCCATCTAATTATTTACCTAAGATACAGAACGTAATACAATGTAGTAAGCATTAATCAACTTATTCGGGGAAAACCATGGTCGACGTTCGAACACACTTTAGGGTGGCTCCGCCAAGTTCTGAAGTGAGTCTTCGCTACGATCTGCCTCTTTAGACCGAGGCGGATCTGTTTTGAAGTGGATGTGAGAGAGGGCAAGCAAATTTTTTCTGGATTACCTTCAGTACATCTCACATAATAAAAGTGTAGATCCCTAGATCTGGGCGAGGCTTAGAACATTTTCAAAATTGCAAAAATGTTCAAAAAATTTAAAAAAATACCTATTTTATCTGAGTTTTTTCTTATATCTTGGAACCTATGAATTTTGGAAGAATATTGAAGAGGAAAAAGTTTTAGAATTGAATTTTGCACAATATACTGTAAGTTAAAAATGTTTAAATTGATTACCGATGTTGCAAAATAGCAATAATTAATGAAAAAAAGGCAAAATAATCAAGTATTTGGATAATTTTTAAAAAATATTTGAATTGCTCCGAGGGCATTCCAATGTTAAAAAAAAAATTTAGAGTTAATATAATAACACACCAAATTTTATTAAAATCGGTTCGATAGTTTTCGCAAAATTTTTTGAAAAAATTTTCGAATTTTCAAAATGTTGCACAGCCAAACCAGTTGTGCTTCTTTCGCATCTTTCTAGGTCGAGAAATAAAAAAGTTACCGGCTGTTCGCCAATTTAAAAAAGTCACGTGACTTAAAACGTGATCTAACAAAGCCCCTCCATATCTTTTTAACCGCTGAAAATATTGAAAAACTAACTCCTGGGTCCCTCTAGAAAATCGTCCGTAGATTCCAGCAAACCAAACCGCATCTTTATAGGTCGAGAAATAAAAAAGTTACCGGCTGATGTGCTTGAAAATTTTTTAACAGAAAAGACCGCTCAACCTCTCAAATAGTTTTTGAAAAATTGAAATGGGCTGATCCACAGTAAATTTTAAGTTTAATTTTTTTTAATTTTTTTTTACAGAGAATACATTTATCAATTTGCAATTTAGTTTTATTTTCAAAAATTGTAATTTTAAAGTAGTATATTTTCTTAATTTTATCTGTATTTAACAAAAAAATTAATTTCCAAATAAAATATATTTTTTTAATTTGTTTAAACAAAAATTTTTTTAATAATTGTAATACTTATAATTAAATACATTCATATTCAGTGTTGAAATATATACGTAAACAAATTTTTTCTTTGAAAAAATGCAATAGCATAGGGTAAAATATAGAATATATTTAATGCATAAATAATAAACTTTGTTTATAACAAAGTATGTGCAAATTAGACAGTTGTCATTACGATAATCGAATTCCTTGTCTCGCGAGACTTCGGATTAAAAAAAAAGATCGAAATTGGTCCATTAGAAGCCGAGATAATGCAATTTTTTTCGTATCTTCGCATTTTGAACTTCTGAATTCAGTCTCGGAGCGAAAGCCCCATCCCCCACTTTTCGTGTTTTGAATCACTTTTCGCGCGTGCGAGCGACAGCTTTTTCGCTGATTTATCAATGTTGCCGATAACTTATCGATATAAAAATTTTTTCCAGCTTAGAACTTGGAAAAACCAAGCCACTGGATCAAAGATTGTTGCTAAATTGTTTATATAACGGTAAATGCCGATAAACTTTGACCGCGTATATCTCGAGAACCAATAAACGGAATTTAATTTTTTTTAAATAAAAAGAAGCCTCTTTCCGAGTACTTTAAAATTATAATTTTTGAAAAAAATTAAATTGCAAATTGATAAATGTAATCTAATTGTTTAAAATTAAAAAAAAGATGTTAATTTTAAAAATTTACTGTTGCCGTCCTAATCAACCGATTTCAATTTTTCAAAAACCATTTGAAAGGTTGAGCGGAATTTTCAAGTATCTAGATGCTTTTATTTGTGTGCAACATTTTGAAAATTCTAAAAATTTTTTTCACAATTTTTTTCAAAAAATTATTTTGCGAAAACTAGAACCGATTTTAATGAAATTTGGTGTGTTGTTTTATTACACTCTAAAGTTTTTTTAGCTGCTCTCGGAGCAATTAAAATATTTAAAAAAAATTATCCAAAGAACTTGATTATTATGTCTTGTTTCATCAATTATTTGTATTTTGCAACATCGGTAATAAATTTAAACAGTTTTAACTTACAGTATATTGTTCAGAATTCAGTTCTAAAACCTTTTTTTCTTTTCAATATTCTTCCAAAATGCATAGGTTCCAATATATAAATAAAAAACTCAGATGAAATAGGTATTTTTAAAATTTTTTAAACATTTTTGCAATTTTGGAAATGGTCCGGATCTCGCCCAGATCTAGGGATCTACACTTTTATTATGTCCAGCAAAAATTAGCTTGCCTCCTCTTACATCTAAGAAGCGGGATATTTCGACAGATCCGCCCTGGTCTACTGTGGATTTGAAATATTTGGGCGATATTACGCATCATGTCGACCTGTAGTGGGATCTGGCTGAAATTTTAAGTTTATGTAAGGCAGCTTGGGCACTGGTGAACATTTTCAACCGTCGCTGTATGGGTGATTATGGCGACAATCTTCTGGGTGTCAGAGTGGTTTTTGTGCTGTTCAGAATTCTACGGGAGTTTTCTGGTCGAACCGAAACATGATTGATTTTCGAAAATTTTTAAGGCGTAAAAATAAAAACACGCTTCTATCCTTTTATGAATCAATGAATTATTCAACTCCACTTTTGCTCAGCGTCGTAACTCTTTTTGAACGAATGACTTTTTTCGATTTTTACTACGGTCACAGCGGTCGCTTACAGGCTCATGTTTATGGAGGGTATAAAGCGTGTCCGTAGAGGTAGAGCACATAAGAAAGGGAGAGGAACACTTAATAATATTAATATTTGGGGCCTCCCACGTCGAAAATGTAGCACGAGCTGGACGGGCGGCGAAATCAAAGGCGGCTTTGCTCGTAAGGCAACCCATGGGCCGGTAAGGCGAGCTCGGTCACGCAAAGGCCCATCTCCAGGGGTTGACGTCAATAATAGTTCGCATTCAGTTTTAGAAACTGTAGTAAATACAGTTTTTAGATTTTGGTATTATTTATTGAATTATAATCTCGACATCTTACGTCACATTTTCAAAACCGTAGTGAAAAAAATGCAGCCCATTATCTGTTAGTGTTGGTACTCGTAACTTAGTAAGAACTCGCCACGAAGTTATGAGGCGTCCTCGTCAAATGGGAGACGAGCTCGTGTCCTGGTAAATGATGTGTGAAAAATGGTCGATCGTGAGAAATAACAGTTCATTATAATCTCATTACGGACAGAAATAACACTTCGTTGGCGATTAGTTGTTTCGGTCGGAAAAAGGCGATCTGGTAATACCACCTAATGGGATGGCAATTAATAATAAACAACGTCGTCGACATGAAGATGTGTCAATTAAGGGACGTTAGAGATCAGATAAAAGCTTGATTTTATCAATTATGTAAATTTTTATGTTTTTTTTTTTAATAATTATAATAATGTTTATATTGTAAAGGTGTATCGTAAATATTTTACAAGTTATTGACATGGAAGATATAACTTTCTTAATGATTATATCCACCTAGATTATACTATACTACACATTCGCTTTATTTTATTACACAATAATATTGAAAAACACAAGCCAACAGGGTTATTTAAATAATACTTGATAAGTATAATATCGATATCAAATTCGTTTCTCTCATTTTAGTGTTTTTTTTTTTAAATAAAACACTTTTGTGTTCGGAATTGCATGTTTGCACCTATTTCCTAATTTCTTGTTTATTTTTTACTTCAGAAAATCTCGACGACATCCCTTGCGACCCCCTCCCCACTGTTCCTCACAGCGACACCGAACTCATCCAACAGTACGACAGGAGATCCATGGCTGGCGTCACCGTAGAGATTCGATGTCTAGGAAAGTACAGGAACACCCTAAGTCCCTGCCAGGCTACCAAGCTCGTTTGCCAGGAGGGAAAATGGCTAGGACGCCTGCCATCTTGTGGTAAGTTGACGCATTAACTAATTTTAATTAGAGAACCTACTAAGAAACTAGAAATCTACATTTATTTCAATTAGCGGCAGTGTTTATTTAAGTATTATCTGGGATAAACAATAAGGAAACAAATTTACTTGCAGTTTGTATTTTAGGTTGAAAAGTATGTTTTTGCCTAGGTAACAATGTTGCTTTGCCTATGCAACACTACCCCTTTGCCTAGGCAACACTGTCTCCTTGCCTAGACAACATTATGTTCTTGTCTAAGCAATATTGCTACTTTGCCTAGGTAACAATGTTGCTTTGCCTATGCAACACTACCCCTTTGCCTAGGCAACACTGTTTCCTTGCCTATACAACATTATTTTCTTGTCTAGGCAATATTGTTCCCTTGCCTAGGTAACATTGTTCCCTTGCCTAGGTAACAATGTTGCTTTGCCTATGCAACACTACCCCTTTGCCTAGGCAACACTGTTTCCTTGCCTAGACAACATTATTTTCTTGTCTAGGCAATATTGCTCCTTTGCCTAGGTAACATTGTTTCTTTGCCTGGATAACAATGTTCGTTTGCCTCAATAACATTGTTCTGAGAAATAATAAAAATAAATTTAAACCCTATCTCTGAGGATAAAAAAAGAGAAGTGTTAACACCTTTGTCTCACTTCCACTATATTTTTTTTCAGTACAAGCGCACGAATGCCTCCCGCCGCCAACGATACCCTACGCGACCATCATCGACGTGAATTACAACATCTACGACACCAGCAACCCCACGAATTTTCCCATAAAGTCCACCGTGACGTACCAGTGCTTGCAGGGGTTCGTCATGGAGGGGGAGCCTTCGATGGCGTGCACCGTTGGAGGGTGTTGGACCCCCAACGATCCCCCCGTGTGCGTCCGCACTAGAACCCCGTCAGTGCGCCAGCCTACCGGCGACAACTTATGTAAGTTTTAAAAAATCGAATGGTTGAACAATTTTCTTGCTGATTGCCACGCTTCCAAGAATCTTTAGTCGTCAGGCCAAGAAGTCTAAATCAATGGCGTGGTAACCAGTTTGGAAATTGTTTAAACTCGGGAACTGTTCTACTATAATGTACAATCATTTTTTTAATTTTTCAGTGGATGTGGACTATCTCAACGCCATCTTGATGTCAGCCGCGGCAGGGGCCGGCGTTCTGGGCATCCTGCTCCTGATCTGCCTGATGGTGGCTTGCAAAAGGAAGAAACAGCACAGCACCACCGTCGCCATACCCCAACCGCTTCCCAGGCAGGATCTGGGGGACCACGCGGCGCTTCTGGAACACCCCGACCGTCTGGCGCTCATCGCCTTCGCGGACGGCGTCCAAAGGAACCAGGTGGGTACACTCACGAGAAACGTTTTGATTATTATAAGGGATTTTTATTTTCATTCAATTGTTCCATGATTTCCTCTTTGCTCCGTAAAGACGTTGGTTATTTTTCTATTCGTCGGCTATGGTGAGGCGCATTATCTATGGCTATCACTGCATCAGATTCGAAAATGTTCAAAATGTCGTTATTTAAATTTTGCCTAATCTTGTGTTCTCCATTTGTCTATTTCTCTGGAAATAAGAAATCTGCGACAGACGAAACTCTATTTTAATTTTTTTTAATACTCTCTTCCTCGTATATTTTCGATTTAAGTTACGAAAATTAATTTCTGAGATAGTGGTCTTCTACGATTGAAGTTTCATTAAAGTTGGACGTAAAGTTTTTAGTGTTACTGTCGTTTTCATATTTTTCGCGTGCCACATGCTTCGCTTGTTTACTCTCCCCACTTTTTAGCTCACGATAAACACTTAACAGGCATGTTTTCAACAACACTACGTTGCATACGAACTTACGTACTGGAATAATTAAAATGTGAAGATATGTCTTCCACTGGTACGCTTATGACACGCACTGACACGCTTCGGCTAGAAATTGCCACATACAGGGATTTCAATAACGTTAAACAATGCAACATCTCTTTGTACACGTAAGCAAAGATACAACTGGGCGTTTACAACGAATAATCGGAACACTATGCGAAATGAACGGCACCTTACAATTTCCAGTTTGATTTATTCATGACCGCTATTCCGGTACTGGACTGTAGTCCGTTAAATTTAGTTCGGATTCTGTATATAAAGCTTGTGTTATTTTTGAACGCGATATAATTTTCTCTGGGTGGATTTTTCCATACGCGGCATCGACCTGTCTACGGGTGACGCGGGCGGCACCATTGGGGACGGGAAGGGGCGAAACGGGACCAAGGATAACCCGAGAAGTTGGCAGATCTACGTTGCTGCTGTTGCCCAGACGTAACGAATGATAATTAGCTAATTAACGGGGCAATAACAGCGAGCGGCCCAAATTCAATTAAAATAAATCCGCCGAACAATAAATCGCAATTAGTTCGATCGGACGAAACGGCTTCGGGGGCCAGCGGCGCGCGTGGAATTTTTTTAAAAGGCCGTGACTCGTTAAAAACATCCCGGAGTTAACACGGAATCGAAGTTGGGGCAGGTTTAGAAATGAGAGGAGACATAATCTCCTGATAGATCTAAGGTCCGTGAGTGAATCGTACATGATGTAAAAACCAGGGACGGACTCGGGACAGCGCGCTGGCATGACTCAGAAAAAAATGATAGACTAGATTATTTCAGTTTTCAGTTTTGTAAAATTCGTAATAAAAGGGGTAATAAATAACATTTTCTATTAAAAAAATATTGTTTAAACTGTCAATTAAGGCAGTTGAGGCTTGAAATTTGATAGAAATTGTTACTTAAGTCGATAATTCTGATGTTTTTGTATCTGTGTGATACAAGTCCATGTGTGAACACGTGATGTGTGACAATGACGTGTGACGATGACGTGTGACGATGACATGTGATGATTCCGCGTTTTTACTATGGAATTTGAAATTACCGCAACTGAGTATTATATTAGCACCCAGTATATGAACTAAATCAGGCAAATGAGCAGGCGATACCATTGATTTAATCCGAGCAAATTAATTCTAATTTAAACTACACACATTTTTCTATTGTATTTATTCATGGCAATCGAATGTGACAAAACTTATTCCAGAGGGTTAATTTGTGACACCGTACGGCCGGTTTCCACCTGTTGCTGTGGTGGCGTTTGGAAAGTTCGTCGAAACGACATCCGCGCCGTCGAGTTCGCTTAGAAGAGCGCGGTGGCCATGATACAGAAACGGTTTACCATATAGGGGAGAAGTTCGCCTAGTTCTGGCCCAGTGCCGCAATTATTATTGATGGCCCATCGTGTCCGTACAGGGTGTACAAAATTCTATATTCGTATGTGTCAGCTACAGTTCTTTGGTAATCATTTCTCCACCAAATGTGTTTTACATTTTTGTATTAAACAATGGCTAAGAAACTGGGAGACATCGCATTAAGAACGTCAGAATTTCGACGCCACTGAATTTTTCGGACTTTTAAGGATTGTATTATACTCAAAATTGTATTTTGTGGAATGAAGCTTTGGAATTATTTTCTTTTCCTGAGCGATTTATTGGGTACAAATCTGGTAAATGTAAAACGGGTTTTCTACACTGAAAAAAAAGTATTTGGATCAAATGAGCAGATAGTTTTAAATGGAATTATTTGCCGTAAATGTTATTTTCTATTCAAATGTATATACTTGACAAACTATGTGAAATATTACAGCAAATATTTCATCTATAATTTTTCTTAAAATTTATATTATTTCTAAATATATAATTTAATTCAAATTTTTTATAGTTTTGAAATTTATTATCGAACTTTAGCTACCTGTTTCAAAACTACCAATTCTTTAAAATATGTATGTATTAGGGTGGTCCAAAAAAAAATCGATTTTTTTTTCGTATCTCTTAGTTTATCATGTTTTAAGAGCCCCCTCAAAAAATCAGCTAAAAAAAAATGTTTTGAGAGGTCGTTCAAGATTTTAAAAAGTTTCCAATATCGTCAAAAATTGATTTCTTTTTTAAATTTTTTTCTTGTTATTTTATCATTTTCTAGGTTGAAAAAAATCTCGATTCTGAAAATTTCAAATCCATATTTTAATTTCTAAAGGTCTCATAATTATTTTAATTTTAAAAGTATGTAGTGTATCTGTAGCGACCTCTAAAAAATAAATATCAACGAATTAATATTTTTTTTATTGAATTTGATGAACAAAAGAATAAAAATAAATCACACTTAAATTTTAAAAAATTAAAAAATTATAAATATTTGATATTCACAGTGTAGTAGTAAATTTTGCCTCGAGAAATTTTTTAAGTGTCTCCTGATTTATTTATATTCTTTTCATCAAATTCGATAAAAAAAATTATTAGTTCGTTGATATATTTATTTGTAGAGGTCGCTCGAAAACATTTTAGGTACACTACTTTTAAAGTTAAAATAATTATGAGTGGCCTTTAGAAATTAAAATATCGATTTGAAATTTTCAGAATCGAGATTTTTTTCAACCTAGAAAATGATAAAATAACGAGAAAAAAATTAAAAAAAGAAAAAAAAAATAAATTTTTGACGATTTTGGAAATTTTTATAAATCTTGAGCGACCTCTCAAAAATTTTTTTTTGAGCTGATTTTTTGAGGGGGCTCTTAAAACATAATAAACTAACATATTTTCAGAAGAGACATGAAAGAAAAATCGTTTTTTTTGGGCCACTCTAATAAGTATATTTAAAATTTAGTATTAATGTAGGAATTATTCAAGACAAATGTAGCATATTATAATCAAACTTATGTTTTCTTGAAAGAAAATTGGGGAAAACTATTCGACTGATTGATGACACAGCCACACACAAAAAAAGTTGCCTGTACTTTTCATGCGACATATGTTATCCGTAGTATTTTTGCCTCCTGATCACGAATTCGGTGTCAGAATTAAGTTATCACATCACATATATTTCTTAACCTAAAAAAATTGGTCAAAAATAGTAAAAATTCACGAAAAAGTGCTAGGAAAAATACGAAATTTTTTTTTTCTATATTCAAATTTTCATTTATATGGTTATGACCCCGCCGAACGCGAATTCGCGGTCAGAATTAATGGTTAACCTCAAAAAAAAACGGGTCAATTAAGGTCAGATATCACGAATTTTAAGAAAATAACAGATTCTCGCTAAATTTGGTATAGAGAGGTTTTTGGGGTCGCTGATAACGGATCCGAGGTCAATTTCACAAAATTCAAGATGGCGGATCCAAAATGGCCGATCAAATTTTCAGAAAATAACCCATTCGCGCTAAATTTGGTATACGGAGGTTTTCGGGGTCGCTGATCACGGATTCGAGGTCAATTTTTCAAAAATCAAGATGGCGGATCCAAGATGGCCGACCAAATTTTCAATTTATAACAGAATCGCAGCAGATTTGGTATACGGGTTTTTTTCGGGGTCGCTGATTACGAATCCCAGGTCAGAATTGTGAAATTCATTTTGTAATATATATGTACCAAAGAGTGACTGCAAAAAACCTGTGATTTTCGCCCGCTTTTTCACAATTGGCAGAGAATTAAAAAAATACATAAAAATATGTTTTTGGTCGCAAATTACTTGCCGTAAAAAACTGAAATGAGCATAGCTTTTAGTATTTTGAAAATTTAAAAAATCACCCCTACTTAGGAGTTGAAAAAATGCCAAAAATGATGAATCGGAATATTACCAATTTATATAAAAACTATTAGCATGTGAATTCTCTTAATATATATATTTTTTGACTTTTTACAATTACTTCTGATATTCTCTATTTTTGGGTATGATTCCACCCCCTGAACGCGCTTAAGGGTAGATTTTCTAATTCAACATGCTCAGTCATGAAAATAAATCTTTGTATCAAGAATCATTCGATAGAAAAATTCACATGCTAATAGTTTTTATATTTATTGGTAATATTCAATTCTTCATTTTGGGGATCTTTTCAACCCCTAAATAGGGGTGATTTTTGAAAAATTTCAAAAAACTAAAAGCTATGCTTATCTTAATTTTTTACGACGAGTAATTTGAGACTTAAACGATATTTTTATCTATTTTCTTTTGTTCTTTGCGAATTGTGAAAAAACGGGCGATTTTTGCGGTCACTCTTTGGAGCGAACGTGTCATTTTTTGAAAATTTAGTCGGCTATCTTGGATCCGCCATCTTGAATTTTGCAAAATTGACCTCGAATCCGTGATCAGCGACCCCGAAAACTTCCGTACCTCCGTATACCAAATTTGGCGAAAATCTGTTATTTTTTGAAAATTTGGTATTTTTAAAGTAAGGAATTTCTAGATTGAAATTTAAAGTATTTAAATAAATAAATAATTTTCTTGAAGGAAGAAAATATTTTCTTGCGTATATATAAACGTGCGATACCTTACAATCAAATGTTGTACATTTGAAGCAACAAATATTTTTTTGCGTGTAGTTGCACAAAAAAGTTGATGTTCGTCGACTTTGTAATCATCTTTTAAGCGTTTTCGGTCATTTTTCTCCACGCCGCCCACGAGAAAAAAGAGAAAGTCCCCGAATTTCACCGTGGGATCCCCTAAGTGAGACGCATCTCCGGAAGGCTGCGTGTGGTCGTCGCATCCTCTATTAATCCGATCGGCGATTGTTCAAATTCGTGCTTGTGCGCGACGCAATCGGCAATTAGCCATTATCTCGTCTAAGCGATCGTGAAATTGCGATATTTTGGGCAGGGGGACCGCGACCCACCGACCCCCAGGTCGTGACGTCGCGGCAGGTGACGTCGGAACCCATCGCTGTCACAGATCGTAAGTCCAGATAGCCGCCCCCATTGTTTTATGGGAGGCCGCAGGTGTGTAATTGGGAAACGGCTCTTGGGGGATTTGTATGGGAACAAAAGGTGTCGTACGCGGTAATTAGCCGCGTCAGACACATGTGCGTGTGTGTACGGGGTGTTTAAGATTGCACGGACGTATTTGGATTACTGGTATCAAATTTTCGTCAAGTTTTGATCAAAACGGTTTGAAAACGTCACGATAAATAAAACTTAGTTTGGCGGTTTGATAAAAGACAAATCGAAATATTAAAAACTTTTTACGTTCATTGTGATTCCATTTGTAAAAACAATCCTCTTTGAAATTAAGTTACTAAAATCTAACCTTCAGATTATCTTTTACGAGATTTGTTAATTTTCTCGGAAAATACTCATCTTCTTGACCTTCCTGAAAACCCTTCAAAGGCCCTTTTTAACAATATGAACGCTTATCTGCACTTAATTGCACTTAGTCCAGGGAACGAAGAGAAAAAATAGGGTAAAACCTCCGAATACTTTCGGATAGATCCGATTTTTATGAAAATTTGGAATTAAGCTTATTTCACCCTGTTATTACGTTATTTTTATAAAGTTTCAACCCTTAATGATAAAAATATAAAATTAATAGTTTCTTTGACCGTAAAATATTTTTATAGCACATATATTATAGATATAAATCTTTTCAATAGTTTATGGTATTATAAATAATTTGTTATAATATTTCAACCCTTAAAAACTACCCCTAATAACAAAATATTAAGAAAAAATAGTTTTTAACAGTTTTAAATGATTTGATAGTACAAACAGGATAAATAAAATTCTTTTACCTTAAAAACCACCAGCATTGACAAAATATAAAAAAAATGGCTTTTAAATTATTTAAAATAAATTATAATGCCCCCCTATAGTGTTTATCAGATGACTGGGTTTCTTAAAAATCTTCCTTTATTATACAAATAAAAAAAAAATATACATTTAAAGTTGATAAGTAGAAGTATTAAAAGATTAAAAGAAAAAAGTGAAGGTATTCTATGTATATAGAATGCTCCAAAGTTGTGGATAACCAAAATATTGATATGCTCCCAAAATTGAAGCGGTAAAGTACTGTTGGTTTTTTAACGATAACTTCCTTAATTTTAAAGGTAATAAGACGATCCAAAAACGATTTTACGGAAAATAACAGCTGAAAGTACTGTAAAATTGAATATTTTTTAACGCGTTATTTTTGAGATTTTTGAGGTTAAAGGATTTGAAAACATTAACTTCGCCTTCAACTGCAAACTTCTAGCAGCGACATCTTTGTTCATTTTTATCCTACACAAATAAAAAAAAACAAAATATTCTGTGAAAAAAAATCTAAACTTTTGTACTCTTGAATATTTTTCGTATCTTAATTTATTTTCAAAAATGTTATTTTTTTGGAATTATTTTTTTTTTCAATCAAAACGTAATATTTTAAAAAATATGTGTTCTAAACCGCTTAAACCTGTATAATATATTGTTAGCACATAAAAAATGTAAATTGTAGAAGGATTACCTTCAATTTTAAATCTCGTGAAAAATTCCATCAATTTTTGTACTGATTTTTTTTCCGAAAAAGCGAATTAACAGTTTTATTTTGATCATAACTGTTAATTTTTATGTTAATGACTTAAAGTCAAGTTCATTTTAAAGATTTTTTAAGGTACTTTAAAATATGTGAAAAATATAATTTTTTTTAGTTATTTTACGTTAAATGCTTCCAATTTAGTTTCTGCCGGACATGAATGAAATTATTTTTTTCAACCAGCCGTATCTCAGCACTTATTGCACCTACATAAATGGAAAAAAACTCAATTTTTTTCTTTTTCTATAAGCTTTTTCATAGAATGTATATTTTTCGAGTTATTTGAGAAAAACTACGAAAAAACGTCTTTTTTTTTAATAAAAAATATAAATTTTCAATCACCAATAACTCAGAAAATATTGACTTATCGAAAAATGTTCATAAGATACTTTTTGCTTAAAATTGATTGTTTTATCGATTCCTGGGGTTATTTTTAATATTTTATTTTTCACCCCCCTAGAAGGGGCTTCCACCCCCTAGGCAAATCGCTTATCGTCGCTATATAACCTTTGTTTCCTGAGCTATTTTCTATTTACAGTCCAAGTTTTACGTCAATCGGTTCTATCCGAAAGAATTCGGAAACTCTTGGTTCCCTGGACTAACTTGATTTTAACACAAAGTATCAGACATACGCTCTGATCCGACATTTCGCCATACAAAAAATTGCCAGAAACACTGAGGTAAGTCTTACTCACTTACAACACGCGCAATTTGAAAATTCCAATTATTGTTTGATCGAACCTCATATGTCAGGCCTAAACAACTTTAATCCTTCCAAAAAGCTAGAAATATTTACGAAGATTAAATTATATCTACTTTTTATTCGAATGGGACCGGACGCGATACATACCACTCGCCCGGGCATTACTTAAGCCTCGATATCAATCCAAGAACCGCGGTTGCCCCAATTTGTGCGTCAATAAACATATTTATCTCGAAATTAATTACACCACAATTTGTATTAAAATAAGAAGTCTAATCGGGCCGACGACGGGTACGACGGTGGAATCTCGGAATGGCATTTCGAAATGGTCGATTATGATTTTTATGTATGTATCTGCCAGTGGCAGCGCACTAATTGACATGAAAGCTCGACCATAGATGGGCGGGTTGGAAAAAATTAAGATATCAACCGAATGTGGGACCGTTTGTTTAGCATATTATCTAGAAATGGGATTATAGTAATGTCGTTGTGGAATTAATAATAATTATAATAATAGATACGGTGGGAAAATGGCGGTGGACGCGTTGTGGAGCTTGTCCCGCGTACCCCGCGTATAGCCCATTCGCTGTGCTTTTGGCAGGAAAGTCAACTTACCATGTAAATCGTCCTTTTTACTTAAAACGCATTATTTTGTTTTGTTTTCCTTTGCAGCACAATTTATTGAAACACAGTATTAAACAGTGGCATGAAACATGAACTGATAGACTTGAAGTTATAGAGCGTAAACCGAAAAAATTTAGAAAAAGGAACTACTTTTAGACAGTTTACGCATAAACCTACAATTTTACTTAATGTGGAATTCTAGAACATTTCCAGAAAAGTCCTTGATAGTCATTTGTTTGGCACAAATCAACTACTACCAGAAATTCCAAGAGTCTGTCTGTTTTAAGCCAGTGGTCCGATCGGAGTGATTTTGTTGTCGTTGTGTAGGTTGGATCTGAGGAGGAAAATGGTAAAATAGCACGAAAACTGAATGAACTGAATTTGTATGTAGGACCCGTAAATTAGTATATGTCTCACTAGGTCACATCTGCATAAGGGTTGCCTAAACATCACCGAAACATAATCAGTTTCTAACACTTTTTTTCTACCGGAACCCCGACTTTCACGTTCTTCCACTAATCCTAAACCGTACTGATTAATTTTTGCGGACGCCCACCGTGTCGATACCGATATGAGAAAGCTTTGTGAAATATCTCCTTGTTCCTGCTGTAAAACAGAACTCTTACCATCATAACTAATTTATGGGTATGATTGTTTAACTATTTTCGGTAGCGTATTTTACGTCATGTCAATAATGAAATACGATATGCAATAAAACAAATCGCTTAGCCGTAAATGGTCGGCGGTAATGATATACTGCCTCATTAATTACCGGGAGAGACGAGGAGAAAAAACGAGCCGCGTATTAATTTATACAAAAAAAAAGTAAACGTCTTTGATTAAAAGCGTGCAGTTGAATGTTAAGACGTTTATTGCTTTCTAAAGAGCGTGTTCGGCGTTAAGTTTTATTATAACTGACTGGTAACGAGCGATTTGATTTTTAGAAACAAATTTTTCCTTTGTGAAAGTATACAAATTCAACTAACATGACAATACTTTTATGAAGACATCTGAGCGAACAACTTATCCGTGCCTATAAATAACTTTGTTTTTCATGTCAAACAGTTGATAATAATTTAATTCTCTTTGTATACAACATATACATGTATATAGCTTGATATTTAAGTATTTTTGTGGGTTGCTTTTTGGTATTACAACAATATTTATTTCACCAAGATTGAAGCCTTTGAGAATGTGCATTGTGCATCGCAATATTTTGTTATCAGATTCAATTAGAAATCTTCCCAAACTGATGATAATCTGGATAACACCTAACAAGTTAAAACTTGCCAACGCAACCCTTAATTTTGTTCTCTTGCTATATTGGTATTCCAAAATATTGAACAATATCAGTGGCACCAACGTAAACACCAGTCGCGAAAGTGCGATCGTAACCTAACTTTCCACATTCAAGTTATACTTTAAAATAGATACATCTGTAGCTTCTTTACAGCCTCTAATTCTGATACTTTGTTCCAGCAGAACCTGCTGCCGTCTTACGACGAGGCCACCAGGAGCGAAAGGGGCGCCTCTCTGACTGCCACCAGGCTGCATCGACCCCACTGGCCCAACTTGGCCGGTAGAAGGGCCAGGAACTCGCCAAACACCGACGCAGGTCACGTGACTAGGCACGGATCCTTGTAAGTTGCCGCTTTCTATCGGCTGCATTAGTTTTTGGTGATGGGAAGAGTTTTTTTATATTTAAGTTCAATTTAGAATGAGAATATCACTTGCAATATAAAGCCTCACATCTGCTGCGTCATTTAGTGACGTCACTACTAGAAGTGTAGTAAAACTTTAAACGCTAATGACAGTGACAATGCTTTTAGACATTTTTAATAAGGTGGTAATGCACTGACGCTGTTCTCGCGACTTCGCGAGGATTTTCCCTTCGAACCATTGACAGAACGACGTGTAAGAAGCGAAAGCCCGTCTCAGTCGATTACCGTGATTGGTAACGAAATCTTCGGAGATGTGACGGACCGTACGCGTCTCACCATCATCAAAATCAATATTCAGAGAGCGGCGTGCCGCAGGGTCCTGTTTACGGCCCGGCTCGGTCTTAATCGCCGCATCAATTAAGGGGGAACACGGGCTGCGTGCCGTTCCGCGATATCGTAACTCTGCGTTGCCGTTCTATAAACCATCCTCGCGGTTATGGCCCCTCCGACATGGACTAGGCGACCAGGGAGTCGTACGTTTTCAGGAACATCAAATTAAGGTGGATATTTCGTGTACCGGCTCGAAAAACCGAAGTTACGGCGCAAAAATGTGTCGTTTTTAATTTAAAGACGTGTAGAAGAAGCGAAAATGTTTAAACTTGACCGTTTCCGAAATATGAAGGTGTTCGAAATGTGTCTGCATAACTTTTTACATCTATCTTTCTATAAAACTTCTACTTTCAACTGTTTAACGTAAAGGGTAAATATACCCAAAGTAACCTACAGATACGTATATCAAAGGTTTTAACCTCTTAGACCATTGCATTTTATTGAAACAGCTGGAAGGGTTTGGTTTTAGTTCTTCTTTAATGAACTTATTTCCTTCTTACATAGAAGGATAGAATATTTAGTGGATATATCGTACTGCAATTTTGGGTGTCCTCTAGGGTTCCAATTTGAGCCCTTTGCTGTTCCTAGTCTTTATCAATGACATATACCCCATTATATTGCGAATATCTGATTTTTGTTGATATGAAAATTGATATTTGAGACCATCTATATGTAAAGTTGTGACGTATACCAGGAAGGTACTCTGACTCCTGATTTTCACTTTGGTACTCTACTTCCATTGAGGTGATTATTAAGATGTCAACGGCTAGTTAAAGGTCATTTGTTTCTGTCTTCATTAAACTTAAATCAAAAACAAAGTAAATAAGCTCACTCGGACTGTCCCCTGATCTCAGATCGTCCGATCGTTTCTCACACGTTTATCCCCCGTCATTATGCGATCGCATCTCGGGCGATAATTGAGAGATCGGTCCGTCTTCCCTCGCGGGGAGCAGATTACACGCCGAAATGACTAATGGCGGCTAAACGGCGCGAGAACCGTCGGTTCGGCGATGCCCGGGGTACCGTCCTTGTTAAAATTCCTCGCTTTCTTGGAGCAAAAAGCCCGATCGGCGGGCATTCGGCGCAAAAATTAAATCTCATTCCCGATAATGGCGGCGGAGAAATCGCCGCCGTTAATGAGTTCGGTATCGCTTCTTTCGGCTCGTTTTTTCTTCGATTTTGTTTCTGTCGGTATCGGCGGTAATTATTATTTCTGATTGCGACCGTCTGCGAAGGCGACTCTCGAACGAATCCGCATTGTATTAAGCTGTAGCTACCGAAAAGGCGGCGGTTTCGCTTCGGTAACACCTCCACGTCTGCCGTTCTAACTTATTTTGAGAATTGCCGGGAATAGTTCTTCTGGATGGAATCCTTGCGATTTTCACATAAGTTTTTAGTAGTTTTAGATAAGATATTACACAAAGACATTTAGGGTCAATTTTACATTCAAAGTTCGAGTTACAATTAAAATCGTGTCATACGCATCGCATCTAACACACCAAAATATTTCCTAAACAAAAAGAAACGCTTTAGAACGAAAAAGAACATAAAATCGCATATTTATGATTCAAGTTTTAATGTCAAACATAATGTCTCAAAAATACGTTGCGCGAGAAGTTCAAGTCCCAGCGGTCCTCGTAAAAATAATTCGTAATCGACCAATTTGTAAACGGATCGACAGGGGGTAGAGATTAATACTATCGGATAAAATTTTATAAAGAAAATCGCATTATCGTCAAAAACGAGCATCTGGTACCTTCTGTTATAGATCTCAATTGTGTTTATTGGCAATTCCCGCTAGACCTTAGATCATCATCAGTTGCATACAGCCTTCGTCATTTGTTTGTATATGATAAAGTATCATCGCAACAAACTTGCAGGATTACAATCACCCTGTCATCCATCATATTTCCAGAGTTTATTGGCCCCTCGTTGAAAACCGAATCGCACCCGACCCCGCGAATGATAAATTCGAGATCTCCGCGAACAAACACAATGCCCCGATTACACCCATAAATTATCCCATTCGGATGAGTAAATTATAGACCTCGCATTTCCTATAAAGAAATTTCATTAAAACCGCAATTTATCATTTGCGTAATCGAATAAATTCGGCAAGACTGCGCCGGTAGGCTACCGAATACGAGCTCGCCACGGGAACTCTGCTAATTGAATTTGTTATTTGAAGACCCTGGTTATTTATTATTTATATGGGAGCAGTAAATTTCGACGCAGGTGAAGGTATGGTGAGCCAATGAGTTTTTCTTACGGAATCGGCACGAGATAATTTACTGTTACGTTAATTTCGTGTGGTTCTACAGATTTGATAGCTCTTTATAAATACATAATCAAAAACCATAAACATGAGCATGACTTGGATAATCTTTATCGTTATCTTAGTCTAGCATCAGTCCTGGGCTTTGATTGATGTCATATGTTTACTTGGATTGTGTTTTGGTTGAAAGATATTTTAATTTTTTTGTATATACTCGTATGTAAAACAATATCTATATATCTGGTCTTACCCTAAGACCAAGATCAAGATAATTTACTTTGATTTCATGTAGTCTACACGTTTCTGAACTACAAGCCTTTATCTTATTCTTCTATTACTCTCTTTATAGCTCATGGTTAGTCTAGCAGCAATCCTAATCCTAGGGGTTTTGAATCAACCTAAGGTTTCAGTTTGCTCATGTATCGCTCGAAAGAGGTTCTGATCTTACACCTTTTGAAAGGCCAAGGTCAAGACAACTTGCTATTGCGTTAATTTATTGTGTTGTGATTTGAAAACCACAAAGTCAAAGCAAGTGTTCACTTCGATCATATTTTTCCGAAGAGGTAATTTTGCCATTTACATTTCTTGTGTTGGTTTGTGGTCTTTCCTTTTGGAATATCAAGACCAAGACCATTGATAAAGATGCTTACGGATTTGGAATAACTGTCGACTCTCCTGACTTTGAGCTTATTGAGCATTAGTTATTTTATTCGAAATGCAGACCAAAAGCCAATAAGAGTAGAAAGTATTTCATCTTTAAAGAGTTTCAGTTCTATTTTATGGCAACAGTTTTTCAAAAGTGCAGTTCCATGAATATAATAATTCCTTACATCGATTCAAGGTGAGTTTTTCGAGATTTCTTGATGAATTTTTGAAACGTCACACTTGTTTTTGTTTTTTCAAGAGTTATCGGTTTCATCAGCACTTTACCCGCGTTCCCCGACTTCTATCTCCTTTAAGCTTTATTATCCACTCCGGTAACTTACCACACGGCTTGTCAGAGTGTCATAACGTGTCGCCGTCCACCACGTAAGCCCCCTGAGCCACGTGGTGGTCGCGTAATATCACGCGGCGCCACGACCAGCTCCCCATTTAATAAATGCCGTAGACACGGCGTGAGTCACAGTTTCGTCGTCGTCATAATTAATCCCCCGTGCCCTTATACGGACTTCCAAGTACCCACTTACGTCTTGTTTTCCACGCTAATTCGCGCGAAGCCATCCGTTCCCTGTCGCTACCAACGACGGGGTCATTTTTTATCCTGGTCGTGACCCGGGACGAAAATTGTCGTTTATGAGCCACCAAGGAACGTAACAAAAGTGAAACTGGTACAGTTCGAGACGCCGCAAAGCAGTCACATCACAATAATAATTATTAGAAGAAATACCGTCAACGCGGTTCCCCGTATCTGGTTCTGGTCCAGTTCCATCGTACGAGCGTGAAAGCAATAACGGCTAGGCAAAAATTATAGCCTGCCGCAGACGAGCTGACTGTTTCACACTCTGGCTGAGAAAAATGTCTTCAGATTATCGTTATTACGGATGGAGCCTTGGGGCTTGTTCCACACCGCTGTTAGTGTGTTACGACTTGTCACAACTACTGTCGACATTTTATACAAAGGTGTATGGCATGTCAGCAAAACAACAAACTGAAACTGATATATTCAGTTTATTCAATTTAATAGCGTTGTTCCTCATAAAAGGTGTTAATTCCTTAAAATGCAACTTGTACAATTCGTCTCTAATAGTTTGGATGAACTTTGCGAGATCAAGACCGTCGTGCGGTACCGCCAACTTAAATCTAATAAAATACCGAATCAAATGATGTCGCGGACGGTTCTAAATTAGATTTAATACACCGAGTTATCTCGAGCATCCATAACCAGTTGCCGCATCCTTTTTTAGCGCATCGCACACCCCGAGCACCAGGTCTGCAGGCGACTCCATGGGCTCCACGGACACCATGGCCGTTTCCGAGGGGTCCACTAACGTCACTCTGGACACCGCCTCCTCGCACAGCGGTTCCCAACCCGCCTCGTGCAGAGCCCACTGCGGCAGCCTCGCCTCGTTCGACGCCTGCTCCGTCGTCAATACGGAAGGTGAGTGTCCGGTGGATTTCATCAAATGTTAGTCATAAATACAAAATTTTGACGACAAATAGGCACTTCTGTGCTTAATATTAATGGACCGTCCCTGCCCCCATACAAAAGTTATATTAAAGTTTCCGTAGAAGCAAAATAAAAACTTGAATTTGCTCTAAGATAATGTTGGTTTTGAAAAAAGCAGTAGAAAGACCTTCATCTGTTTCTAATAGTAATTTTTGTGCAGATAAAGAGTAAAGGACAAATAAATTAAGAATTTGATCAATTTAGTGAGAATTAAGAAAAGTAAACATTTTGGTTTCTATGTAGATGTCCCTTTGTTGGAGGAGAGCGAGCTAGAGGAAATCCAAGGTGGAACAAACGACATGGAAAACCCCGCCATATCGGAGAATTCTTCTTTAAAAATATCCACCAATAGCGCTGACATATTATCTGTTTAGGTGTTACATTAATATGAGACTAACCTATTTATCCTGTATTGGAAATATTTTTAAAACTAATTGTATCTAAAATAACATATTTTACAGTACGTGGTTTTGTATCGAATTTTGGTTCTTCATTGACTGCATCGATTGCTTGATCTGAAATCTATTTCCTTTTTCTTTTACTACCAATTTGTGACGAAATCGGTGACATGTCTCGGAAACGTCAAGGGGTAACGGAAAAAGAAAATAAATCAGTGTTTTCATTTATTTTAGTTTTTGCCAAATATTGCTTGCTTCTGAACAGGAGCCCGGGTAAAATTTAGTTGCTGTGCAATATCCCGCGAGAGTATTTTATTATTTGTATTTATAGTGACCTGCACTCAAGTGATCTGATTTTCTGTTCCAATTTATCGTCACTCTCGAATGAAACGTGCTGTTTCTTGCCGCGGTTACTCGCAAGTTTGTATATATTGTGTAAAAAATTTACCTTCTCGGACGATGCTTACCAGCGAGTTGAGAACTTGAAGTAGAAGTACAAATTTAATAGGTTAGTTAAGTTTTTGGAACTGTATTATACGCTAAATTGGAACACTGACAAACGCGATATATAGATTTTTTTATGTGTATAGCTTCAGGTAAATCATTCAAATATGCTTCTGCATCTACACCGCCATGTATCTGTGGTTACTTACGGTAAAGAGACTACTAGGTTTCATAAAAAAATAACGGGAATTGTTAATTTTCTCATAAAATACCTATATCACTGGAATCGACAAACAAGTTATAACAAGTCGTAACAAGTTGTAACTTGTTTATTGAGTTTATTTACTCAATTGCGCGTGTTGTAGCACGTGCAATTTGAGAATTCTCGTTACTTTTTTATTAAACCTCGTCTATTCGACCGTATTGGAATATAAATGGGTTAATGACATGGTGTTTACTAATATTTATTCTTAAAATTACTCGCCACCATTAAAAGTAAAGCTGAGCTGTTTGAAAAATGCCGCTCTGTGGAGACAGCCAATGAAACATCTGAATTTCTAGTGTGTGCCAAATGACGTCATTATATGAACGCATGCGCTGTATTGCCCGTTCATTTATTTCCCGCTTCATTTAAGGAGCGGCATTTTTACAATGAACAATGTGAAGAACACGTAGCAAAAATGAATGGTTTACTCGCTTCTCGTATCCAACTGCTTATTATTTTCTAATAATCGACCACGCGCTATGCTTCTCTAGGATTTATTTGAACTAACAGTTGTATCATCCAAAGATCGCATATTCTAGTCTCGATGGGAAATAGTATCTGTGTGTATGTATATAATCTGTCAGTACTGTATACACAACGTTCTGTTTTATGTATTCTAATAATGATAGGATCGGGGCTGTTATTTATTTATTGATTTACTTGTTAAGTGTTTTTAATGTTTGTAGAGTCAGTATTTTTAATTCTTTTACGGGGCGTTCTCAAGATTTTATTGAACGACAAAGTACAGTGTGATTTGTATCAGGATAAGACAAAGAATATTAGATTATAAATTATGTTATAGGTAATTTTGAATTCCGTTGATGAAGTACTCTTAGTCCAACCAAATTACACTTGGAGAAAAAAAAAATTGTTAACTGGACTTTTATAAGTGGAAATGGTAAAAGGGCTTATAATAAATCTAAAAAAAAAAAAATGATAATAAATTATTGCAACAATAAATTTTTCAGTAATTGTTGATAATTTGTTTAAATTTAAAAAAATCAAAAACTAACTACGGAAAAAATACAAAAAAAAACTGTGTCTCATTGTAGATATGCCAAAACGAAAAAAATTTATCGCCGGCAGAACTGTGTACGATGATTTTTCTAAATAGAATTTTTATTTCAAAAATATTTGAAAAAAGTGTTTCAGACCGGAAAAAATCAATATCTCGGAAACTTCTTGATTTTTTTATCAAAAAAAATTTGCGGTTATTAAAGACACACAAAAGGTATACTTTCACCAAGTTTCGTCAAAATTAAATTATTTTTGCGGAAATGAGAAATAAAAAACGAAAAATAAGAAAAAAACATGTTTTCGCATTTTTCTCGGAAATTTTGAGGTTATAGTACAAAGTGACTTCTACAAAAGTTGTAGATTTTTGCATGATCTACAACTTTTGAATTGGATACTTTTTTGTTTGACGTCAACTTTCGCCAGAAATCTCAATAATACAATTATTGACAACTTTTCAACCCCCCAAGTTAACCCTCCGCCACCCTTGTTCACGCATTTATTTTTTTTCCGTTTATTATAAGTCCCTTTACCATTTCCACTTATAAAAGTCCAGGTATCAATTTTCTTTTTCATTTCCCTCTAAATGAGTTATTTCGATCGGTCTATCTGAGAGAATTAAATTGAATAAATTTAATCAGCTTGAAAACATTTTGTTTTAGGATTGAAAGATCTTTTTATTCAATTTTTAACACACTAGCGAATTGTATGACTTTAGTATTTGTCGTTAGTCAGTCGAAAAATGAGAAGGAATTGTAGACAATGCCCGAAACGTACCTTTAATATTATTTTTTATCAGATGGAAGTTTGATAAATTGATCTAAATTTTGATACAGGGTTTTTCGTATAAATTGGAGAGATATATTATGTAAATATATGAATGATTTCTTATAGAGATCCAGTTGATTTTTTATTAAAAATTAACGGAATAAATGTATAGAATTATGTATATTTCGAAATCGTAAAAAAACTTCAAAGAATTACGTGGAATTTATAAATTTTAATTACTAGTAAGGGATTATTCACTGTATTGGTTCAGAGTAAATATTCCAGTTTATGTTCATTATTAGGGTGGCCCAAAAAAAAACGATTTTTTTTTTCGTGTCTCTTGTGAAAATATGTTAGTTTATCCTGTTTTAAGAGCCCTCTCAAAAAAACAGCTCAAAAAAGTTTTTTAGAGGTCGCTCAAGATTTTTAAAAATTTCCAAAATCGTCAAATATTTAATTTTTTAAAAATTTTTTTCTCGTTATTTTATAATTTTCTAGTTTGAAAAAAATCTCGATTCTGAAAATTTCAAATCGACATTTTATTTCCTAAAGGCCACTCATAATTATTTTAACTTTCAAAGTAGTGCACCTAAAATATTTTCGAGCGACTTCTAAAAATAAATATCAACGAACTAATAATTTTTGTTATTGAATTTGATGAACAAAAGAATAGAAATAAATCACGAGATACTTAAAAAATTTTTCGAGGCAAAATTTACTACCGCACCATGAAATATTTATAATTTTTTAAAATTTAAGTGTGATTTATTTCTATTCTTTTGTTCATCAAATTCAATAAAATAATTATGAGTTACCTTTAGAAATTAAAATATCGATTTGAAATTTCAGAATCGAGATTTTTTTCAACCTAGAAAATGATAAAATAACGCGAAATTTTTTTAAATTTAATCTTTGACGATTTTGGAAAATTTTAAAAATCTTGAGCGACCTCTAAAAAATTTTTTTTGTGCTGATTTTTTGAAGGGGCTCTTAAAACATGATAAACTAACATATTTTCACAAGAAACACGAAAAAAAAATCGTTTTTTTTTGGGCCACCCTAATGTTCATATTGTATTATATTGTATTATTTTTGTAATTATATGTATAAATGTAATATTGACAATAAAGTCATTCAAAGATACGAAATTTATTTCATATTTACTCAAGTGGATGGCTTGTAAAACTGCTTGTCCCGAAATTGGCAGTAACGGAATCATAAACCGTTTTTTTTTTCATCTTACACCTCAAGAAACCCTAAAAGAAAAAGCCCTACGGCGATAAATCACATGATCTAGGCGGCCAATTCTGATCACCAAAACGGGAAATTACACGACCAGGAATTGACTCATGCAATAATTGAATTGTTTCAATTGGACTGTATGGCATGTGGCACTGTCTTGTTGAAATCACATGTCGTCTCATCCATATCTTCTTCTTCCGACCCATCTCATTCTTTTCGACTAGGCCGAGCCAGGCCAAGCCGTACCTCGCCGAGCCGAATCGACTCGGTGTACGTCCGCCCTTATCGAGTAATTTGTCCACACTCCAGCGCGCTCATCTCGGACGACCGGATGACACATCTAATGGTTCCAATTGTCTAGGACAAAACAGCACCTTTCAACAGACATTAAGAGAGTGTTTGTGCAAGAATAATGACTTTATTATTTGTGGATGTCTAATAATTAGCCGCCAGGGAACCAATCATGGCCAATAATGAACACATCAGTCGCGATGACTCGTCCGGGAGAGGTGAAAGGTCGCCCGGTGGTGGTGGTGTTCGAGGCGAGTCTTTATCTGGTACCACGGACTGTTTTTTTTCTTTGTAATTGATAGGGAACTGTTTGATCAGGTGTCGGCTTTGACCGCGCCGGTTTCTCAGATGAGAATAATATTCCTGTAGAATCCATACGTACCTACGCTTGCTACAATTCATAAAAATTTGCAAATAAGTATTCTCAGCAGAGATAGAGTATGTCTTATCATCTTTAATAACTAATTTCAATATCTTACTTACAATTGCGTCTTAGGGGTCGTGGAGTTCCACAAGGTTCGGTCTTGGGGCCTTTACTTTTTCAAGTTCCGTTAACGATTTTTCTAGTATTTATGCCAGAAAAGATTTTTTTATTAAATACAGCACCAGAACCTTTACAATAAGTTTCCTTGATTTCTAAGGGCTAGAAAAGGGGCTTATTATACAGAAATGCAGTGTAAACTTTTTTTTTACGTAACGTGAAAAAAATGTAAACTAAAACAAAAGTTAGGGAGTCATTTATTTAGAAAATCTGCAATACCAAGAAATAGCAGTCTTGAGATAAAATCGAATTGTCCCGGGAAAATTGAATATTCGGATTGGTATTAGAAAATTTTCTCATAATTTGTTGGTACGGTACAATTTCACCTTTTTGCAAATTAAAACAATGTAATTCAGGCTCGTGACCATAAAAATAAAAAAATTAAAATCCGCCTCTGATTATTCAATAAGTTGAAAGGTATTATTAAGTTTAATAGTGCATGCCACTGCTGGAATCAATTAGATTGGAAAAAAAGGCTTTGGCGTGTGCAACACGCAAGCATGTTATCTGCTTATATCAGTGACGGCTCGTGGCTTTTTTAATAGGTGGGCAGGAAAGAAAAAAAAAAGCGCCGCAGGCAAAATTTTTAAATTTTCAAGGTCAAACGACTAAATGCATCGGGAAATTTTTGGTTGCATTTACAATATTATAGAAAACTGATATTCACGAGCAGGATTTTTTTATTCAGATTTTATAAAAAATAATAGGTAACTATTTGGATATTTTATTAATCCGCTCTCAAATAATAAATAGGAATAAATCTCCACGTCAGTTTTTATTATGGAGATCTTCGCCAATAGCCCTACTATTTGATGACTGGCTTTTCATCAAAGTTGAATAATAAAAAAAGCCTTATAAACAAATAAAACCAGGATTTTCGTTGAAATTTCACAACTTTCTAAGCTGCCATTAATGTTTGAAAACAAAGTTCAAGCTTTAAAATGAGATGTCGTGCGTCTCAATCCGTCCAATAAAACCAGAGATATGGTAAAATTGGTGCGCGCGGAGACGGAAAATGTAAAATATTTGCACTAAATTTGCAATAACTTTGGCTAAAGGTAATCTTTTTTTAATTTTCAAAAACTATATGTTGCTTATGAGAAAACGTAACAATTAACAGATAAAAAATTGTACTAGCTATAAAAATAAACTTTTTACAGCCATTTAAACATTTAATTTGTTAATAACAATTAAACTGACCACTTTCAGGCTTTACAACCAAGTTTTTTGGATTCAGGAGGTCAAAATACTTGCGAATAAGTTGTTTGCAGCCGTGGCACTTTGATTGGCCACGGAACCCTATCTGGCACCTAGACTAGTCTTTGATAATGTAATAAGTATATATTAAATTACGTTAAATTTAGTCTTACTTTGTCTTGTTGTAAGGAAGTTGTTTTTTATTTACTTTAAATTAATACCTGCCTTGTCCTTATCCTTAAAGCCTTTGTACTATCCCTCACAACGACATCAGACACCACCCGCGTACTATGCGATGCGTACATTAACCGCGAACTGAAACTACAAGACAAGTATAATTAGCTTTGAACCGACCTCAGTAAAACAAGTAAAATTTACTTCATTTTATTAACGTACTTTTAAAAAATTTTTAATTGGAACAAAAGAATTTAAACCATTTAACAAAATAATGTTAATTCCTTACTGGCAAATTAAATTTGTTTTCGATTGTCGACTAGCTTAGCTGAATCGAAGCATAAGAGCGTGCAAGATCTAAATATGTGTTTGACATGAAAGAAATAATAATTAGGCGGTGAACTACGAATTAATTAATCTTAATGAACGGAGATTCGATGATCACCGAAAGCGTATGGTATTGACAGCTGGAAGTATAAAGGCAAACAGATTGCGCAAGACGGGACCACCCTTTAGATTTTGACAAAAACATCTCCTTTGATGTTGTGAAACAAACGGAATTGTTTTGTTTAAGTAGAACACACAAAGTGAGGCCAAATTTGGACAGCCATACTTTGCATCGTTCACTGTTTTTAACGGTTGAGGCAACTGTGTAAAAACTTTAGCTACGTTCACAAAGTTCGCGATATATGTTAAAACTAGCCAATATTTTGATCACACAGAACACTATGCTAGCTGTGAAATAATATATACTTTATGTCTTTTATCTACTCCTGAAGAATTCTGTGTTGAAGTTGGTCGGCCCTGTATAATCAAAAGTTACCGAGAGCGTGGAAAATCGCGCCGGCAATTGCGCAAGGGAATATGTGTCAGGTGGAGGGGGGAGCGACTCGGACCTGCAGAAACCCCCATTAGCGCAATCAATTGATATTATACCGAGCAATAAGGAGCCCCGAACGTATAATTAAGCGCACTTATGACGTCCGAACTTGGGCGCGCGAATACGGGCCTCTTAAATAACGCACATTAGTCAGTCACCCGAAATGAACGCGAAGAAATCGGCTCCCGAAGACAGCCAGCCGCATTAATCACCGGGAAATTAATGAGAATTTTGAAAGTGGGGTGCCAGCGTCGTACGGCTCGCTCGGAATTGATAACGCCAGTGGCGTGGCACGCGAAAGATTACAGGGGAATTTTTGACAAAAAAATTGTACGCCACTGACTTTTTTGTAATTTTTATATTTTTTTGGATTAAGCAACTAAAAATACAACTTTATCTCGTGAATGTTTTTCGTATCTTGATTCATTTTTGGAGAAAAAAAAAATAAAATCCACTTAATTGCATATCCCTTAAAAATATTCGTTAAGGTACCACTCGGGACGCCACTGGACAAATCTAATCAAGTTAGAGTTAAATTAGCCTGTTAACACTACAAATAACACTGCCAAGTTACAACAAAATTGGGTAAAGGGTGTTTAAGATATTTATTTATTTTTTGAAAACGAAGCATCTGCGAACCAATTTTTATATGAACTTTTTGTCGTAGAATCATTCAAATAATCAACTGTTAAATTTATTGTACATACTTAATTAACACCCTGTATTTTTAAATGATACCTTTCAGTAATCGACCCCAGTACTCCACTGCCGTCCCATTGCAAAATAGTCGAATATAATCGGTATTATCGAGAAAGCGTGGCCCATATTTTGGATGCGATGTTATAATAGCGCCAAGTCGAAATTTCTTACCCTATATGGAAGTCAGGAGTCGGCAACACGCAAGTTGTCGCCCGACCCGCCACGCAACACGTCATGTGTGCTTAATCTGCTGTCAATACAGTGTGTGTGTCTTTTCCTTAACTAATTTCCAGTATACAGTATTGGAAAAGTTAGAAAGTACACACAAAAAAAGGATGGTAATACAGAAATAGTTACGTATCTTTGATTTTAGACTACGTTCTAAAACAAAATAGTTTTTGTCCGACGATTGCAGTTTTGAAGACGTTTTTTACTTTGGTTTTTAGTGATTAAGATTAAATTTCACTTGTCTTCGTAGCATTTCCAACTTTGTCTCCAAAATGCTTCAAAGTTTTGACCACGTTTTGATTAAAATCTTTTTGACACTTATGGAGTATAATGAAAATGTCAATTTTCGAAAAAGACATTTTCAGTGTCAAGTCACACTGACGCATAGACCAAAATTCCAGTACATCAGCGCAATGTTCACTTTCCTCCATAGCCTGGTCCCCAAAACCGTTCGAAAGACCTTCTACAGCGAAGCATCCACCAAGCAATGCCCTCCGCCCAAGGTATCCACCCATAAAGAAGGGGGTTACAAAATCTACAAGTACATGACTCTCTTCGTCGGCCTTCCTGCTATTGCGGCGGTTGCAGCTTTCACTTTCATCCAGAAGAAGAGCAGAGGTTGCCCAGAGAGGCCAGATTTTGTCCCTTACGAGACGATGAGGAGGAGGACTAAGAGGTTTCCTTGGGGTGACGGGAACAAGTCCTTATTTCATAATCCAGAAATAAACGCCATTCCAGATGGTTACGAAGAAGATTTGGAGTGTGAATGTGGTAGTAAAGAAGATGAATCGTCCAACTGCCGAGAGTAATAGTTGATCAAATTGTCCTTGAAGGAAATATATATTTTTTTTGCAAACGTGGATTGTTTTGATAGCTTTTAATAGAATAAACAGTAAACATTATTTTTAAACATTTCGTTCCCTACGTTAGGACATATGGGAGAACGTGTCACCCTTTTTAAAAAATATATTCAACTTTCGATTGTGAAATTCCTGTCAATTTTTCTTGATTAGTAGACTTCAAGTAGAAAGAAAAGATTCAATTTGCTGTCCCTATAAAATTGGAGCTTTAACTCCAACAAAATAGCATCTAAGGTTGACTGTATATTTTATTATAATTATCGATCGGTTGAATTTCTCTTAGGATATTCAGTAGCGGTTCAATAAGAGTTTTTTTCAACACATCCACGTACAACAGAAAATCTCCAGCGGATCGCACCCACCCGTCCTGCCGTTGCCTCATATGGCTCCTGCTTATGCAGCAGTCCCCGACTGACACACCGTGAGACAGGCAGCTCCTGCGAGGCTCCTCTCTTCCTGATTGACCATCTTGCGAGACGGTCACCCGACTGATTGGGCATCGACACGATCACATTAGCGATGCCGATGGTCAGCTACGCTGCTAACCGACATTCCTTTCTTCGTAGAGGGCCAGCGGTCGGTCCTTTGCTCTGTTGATGCCTGGATTGCAATAAGAATAGGGCCTCATACACATAGAGGAATTTTGAAGGATCTGGCCCGCTACTGACCAAATTTATACTCGACTTCTCGATCGATACTTCGGTTAGTGGACTGTGGTGGTTTTGATTTTGATTATGGGTAGTTGGGTAGACGTCTGAACACACTCCAGGCTGGCTCCGCAACGATCCTGCAGTGGTGTCCGCATGGAGATTGGAAAATTGGCTATCTCGTAGAATCTTGTTATGGCAGCCGTCTCTAAGGAGTTATGAAGTTGAAACTGATTTTGGTTAATATCGACCCTCAGGAGCATTGTTACAGTAACTGAATATAAATTTATACGTTATTTCAGTTGAAAAGCTTTATCAAAAAATGTGAATAATCAAAATAATAAAATATAAAACGTCAATAGATAGTATTTTCCGTACATAATTTTTTTTTATGTAACTGTCTTCCATTGTATTGTCGCGAGTGGAGTTTTTCCTTCGGCTTCGAACATCGTCGGCCAAACGTGACAGTATGAAGACGTCGCTCGCAATTTATTCACCAAGTCAACGCACCTGTAATGGCCTGAACGACGGGATTATCGCATCGCCAATAGGCTCTAATTAGTCGCGGAACTATCGGAATGGCGTTCTATAAAAATTCTGGGATTGTTACATTTCTCCTAGTCCGGTTGCTCTTGCCAGATCGATTACAGTCGAGTAAATCAACTGTGCGCTATGTTTCAACGTCTTTTTGTCCGATCTTATGGGTACTTACAAGACACTGGTTTTATATACAAAGTGTTGCAAATATACAGATAGATAAATTGCCAATCAGTTAGCTGCAAATGCAGAACTATACTTGACGAAATCTCAACCCGTTTCTTGCAGATTCAATCTATCATAATTGCATTGGACTTGGATCTGGGCAGCGAGGTGGCCAATGGCATTAAAAATTCTCGCGATTGTTTCCGTCATTGGCTAGATGCGAGTTTTAGAGCGGAGAGCGGAAAGCTGTCGGATTGAAACCTCCAGATTTTTAAAATGACTTCTCGGATCGTGACCGTTTCGAAATAATTCAGTATTTAGCTCGGCATCGGAGATACCGCGGTCCCCGAGCACGACATTCGCCGCGGCCACTCGTTGAATAATTTATTGTAAACGCGGCGGAATACAGATTATTACGTGTTCATATCTGGCCATCGCCTGGTTCTCGTGTTTACCTCTCAGGTGGGCCGTAATGAAGTTTTCAGAAAAACGGCGTGCAAAGTCAAAAGTCAAGTAGCAATTTCGTGATCACGATTATCTTTAACACTTTATAATATCGTTTCGTCCAGAGGTATTGCCGTTTTACTAGGTTAAGCGCATTTGCATCGGGATAACTTTCTGTAATATTTAGAAGAGGACGAAATATGTCGCGCTTCTTTCGTCACGAACCTAAGAACTTAATCGTTTTTTCAGTTGGACTACTTATTTGCTATCAGCGATACAAACTAAGTATTACGCACTCTAGCGGCAAAGGAACACAAATGTTTAGCATACGTATAACGATTTAACGAGAGAAGTCAAACCGTCTCACTTATATCCGTACCATCTCATCTACAACGGGTTCAAGAATAGTCAGTAGGTTTTTCCTCTCGATTAAATTTTTGTAAACGATTAATTTCTCGAAACTTCGACAGAGCAAAGGAATTATTTCGTCCTCCAGCCGACCGAGATCCGAGATGATCTCCGAATGCGATGGGAAATGAGAAATGTCTGGTAATTTTAAATCGCTAATTATTTTCAGCCTCTCGATTAATTAATTATTGCTGAAGTTATTCCGAAGCGATCGTAAATTTGTTTTCTTTAATTAATTAGATTTATATCTCATCTGTTTGATCGGCCGCGCGGTAGTGCTCCGGTTGATATAATTAAACGAAAAAATCGCCCTGCGCTGTACAGGTGCTGTAAATCCAAGGATTCAGAAGGACTACTGTCGAAATTGTCGTTATAATGTCGGCATACAAGATGGAAGGTCTTTCTGTAAACAATTGTAATAATTTCGCGATATTTGTTGCTTCCTTTTGTTAACGCTGGTAAAATTTTTAGTGTAAGTTGATCATTGACAAAAGCTTACAATTATTTGGAACTTAAATTGAGTTCCAAATCAAATAATTAATATCGAGTCAGGTGACGGAAGGCAAATTAATATACCGATGACGTATTCCCTCCTAAGAAATGCTGCAATGCCATTGGATGACTCAAGTTCAAAGTTTGTAAGCAAAATACAGGGTGTCTCATAATAAGTGTAATTGAGACACCCCTGACTAAAATTTTTGAAAAATTTTATGATGATCTATTTTGACTTTTAATGAGCGTTCACGATTTCAAAATTCATAATTTTCCTTCAACCCATTTCGGAAATATTAAAAAAAAATGAATTTTTTGAGGCCTTATTTAGGGGGCGTAGCATTTCTCGACCAATATAGATATGAAAAAATATTCTTATTTTTAGCAATAGAATCAAGCGTTAAATTATTGGACACTAATTATGAGACACCCTGTATAGTCCAATTAAATGGGCCTTTAAATCGCAATTTAGTTAACTTGCCTGAATTTTTGATATAAGTTAGTTTGCGGTATATAATAATGAGTGACAGTAATTTTTTTTTCAACCCCCGGCTAGGGGTGAAAAAAGAAAAGATAAAGTGTTTTTTCAAAGTAACTCTAAAAGTATAAAAGCTAGAAATTTTTTTTATAAAAGTTGTAGAGTGGAAAATTCTACATAAAAATGGTCTATTGACTCTTTCTTGTACTATTAAAATTAACAGAGTTAGGGTGACTAGAAGTTGAGGGATGATTTCAGAAATTTAAAAAATCATTACCTACAAGCAGAAAAATTAATGAATTTTATAATTTTGTTTTCAATTTATTCTAGAAAATGTACACTATCTTTTCAGAGAAATTGATATATTATTTAATTTTTAATAAAAAAGTTATAACAATTTCACAAAGCGAACGTGATTTTTTGTCTTTGTCGTAAAATAAAATTTCTAAAGCAACTTTTCATTATATTAAATAATCAATGGCATAGAAAAAAATTGTTTTAGTATTAAATCATAAAAATTAACGATTAACAAGTTTCAACAAGTTGTCAACTAGTCAAGTCAGTGTCAACAACTTTTATAAGAAACTTTTTTTTCTAGCTCTTACCCTTTCTGAGTTACCTTGAAAAAACCCATTATTTTATCTTTTTTCACCCCTAACTGGGGGTTGAAAAAAAAATGACTGTCGTTTATTGTTATTATACACCTCAAATTAATTTACATAAAAAAGTCTGACAAGTTGATCAAAATTGCGATATAAAGGAACATTTAATTGGACTAATACTTCTCTAGCGATCTTGGGTATAACCAGGAGTAAACAATTATTAAAAACGTGACGTCACAAGGATAAAGAAACAGCGAAATGTCAGTCAGTTACCATTTTGGGGACAAATACGGTTGTTCAACGATAAACGTTACTATGAACGTATTTCACGACCCCGTAATGAGCGCGCTGGTCGCCCGGGGACATTCGAAACCAGTTGTCAATCTGTCAGAGGACGGAAGGGCGGCAAAAAACCATTTAAATCCATCATAAGGCGCATTTTTACGGTACATTAGGCATTGCGGTCGGCGCAGCAAATTTCGATTTAAATTAAAAATGCAATACAATAAATCAGTCTGTGTGGTGTTAGCGGTCCCGGCGTACAGGGAACCGTCCGAGAGCGGCATTCCTGCAGTTCGTGATCAGCCTCCGAAAACGCGGCGCGGTTCGGGCTCCCGGCTCTTTTTTGAAGGATGCTCCGTGAGAAAATGCAAACATTTACATTAAATGCGGCGGACTTTCTTATTTTGCGGAATAATTCGCGAGAAATTGCGAGGACAATACTTCGTAATCGTACCGAGAATGCCGTTTTTCGCCGTCCTGTTACCTAACGCATCCTTAATGGGCACCGGAGACAATGCTCCGCCCGGAATATTGCATAACCGGTACTTCATATTCGTCAACCAGTAGCATTACTCAAAGCTGGAGATGCTGATATAGTTGCCAATATCACCAACATGGTGTTCACCCTAAGAGAGATTCTTCTGTAACTCTATAACTGCAACATTTATATAAAAAAATGGTTTTAATAAAAGTTGTCTGAATCATCAATCCTTGGTTAATATTTGGTAAAGTTTATTAAATGTACATGGTGTTTTAAACTTATCGTTTTCGAGATAATTAGTTTTTGAAAAAAATCACAATTTCAGCTCTCTAAATGCATCTAGATAGCGTGAAAGAGTTAGAAACCTGCAGTTTTCACAGTTCGTTTTGGCATAAATTACTCTATCTTGTCAT